CAGAGGTGTCATCATTTTTTGATTAAGGCCGATTCAGATGTAGTCTCATTGATGAGCTTTTGCAGATAAGACCTCGAGCAAACACTCTGGTTGCATCGGAGGTGTCTTCATTTTTTGATTAAGGCCCGATTGCTTCAGATGTAGAGTCACTGGTGCGTTTTTGCAGATAAGACCTCGAGCAAACACTCTGGTTGCATCAGAGGCTTCTTCATTCTTTTTGAGACCATGTCCGGCTTTGTCCTGATTCACGCAGCATAAACCTAAGAAATCAAGACACCTGTTACACAAGAACATAACAGTTGCAATGTCACTTGCATGGGAATGTTGAGGAAAGGCGCTCCGGGGTTGCTGCGCTTGCGCTCGTCGTTCAATCTGAAGAAACTAAAGTCGAATTCTTAATATAAACTATTTGGGGGGTCTTCAGCTTGATTCAATTTAGCCATCTATGTTTTCTTCACTGCCTCAAGTGTTCAATTTAGAAACAGATTAAAAATCGATATTAAATCGTTCAAATCTTTTAATCTCAAAAGCATTTCCTAAAACCATACCACATAGGCTCAAAGTTCCAGACTAAACCGAAGAGCGATGGCCTCCAACCTAAGAGCGATGGCCTCCAACCGAAGAGCGATGGCCTCCAACCTAAGAGCGATGGCCTCCAACCTAAGAGCCATGGCTTCCAACCTAAGAGCGATGGCCTCCAGCCTAATAGCAATGGCCTCCAACGTGCAGATGTGGCAGGTGCAGCACTTTGGACTTGGTGTTTGTTGCAAAGCGCACTGGCAGGGCTGCATGGGCTGCGGGAAATGAGTCATCCATGGTGCAGATTTCACGGCGCATCTGGGAGAATTCTGCACAAGGAGGATCTTGCTTTGGTGACATGGCAGTTCTGCGCAAAGTTGCAACAAACATGCTTCAAAGTCCAGGCTGTCTTACACTGGTATGAAGGAAAAGCAAACACCCACAGGGAAAAACGCTGGCATAGTTCCTGACCTGCGTTGTTTTCGGGGTGCGTGGGGAAGGTGGGACCTCTTTCGGACGTTCTTCGACCCCCTTCGAGCTTAAGCTGAGCAGCTGCCCAAACAGGCGATGCGAATGATTGGCAAATCACCTGGTCCAGTGCCGCTCGGTCAAGAAAAGCTACTAGCTTCTTGCTACTAGTAGTAAGGCACTTGTTACTAGTAAGTAGCGATGCACTTCTTTCCGCTCGCTACAACCTGAAGCTACTAGTAACAAGGTCGTAGAATTTGTTTTGGCAACGATGTCCAATGATGCCCACCCACCGAGACAATTTCAATTTTTAAAGCGAAGAATCAGTAGTTGTTTTATTCGACATCGAGCCTGTGCCAGAATCAGTAGCTCCAGATTCTGCAATGAGAGGCCCACATCGCTGATGAAAGGCGTTGCTATGGCTGGAATGGCAAGTAGGCCAAGACCTTCGAGTCAGTCCGGTTAGGCAAACATGAAACCTGACTGGTCGCCATAGTGAAGAAAAATAATAGAAATAAAAAGAAAATAGGCGACACACAGTGTTTGTTCCTCTTATTCTTTTAGCCCGTGGCCCTGCCAACAAAATGCCCAAACACCGTCCTTCTTTTCCTAGTTATTTGTTTCATCGATGTAGGCGTAGGTCTTAGTACCTTTTAGGTCGACATACCGACAGTCGGTTTACCCGCATACCGTTTCAATCCGCTTCATTACCCTCCACTGAGATTCTCAGAAAATGTTTTCTTGCCACCCCATCTCAATTGCCATTGGCTCCTCCCACACGACTTGAGGCCAGGTGCAATGAACAAAAGCTAGCTGCGCAAACGTGAAAGGAAAAGGACATTGAAGCAATCGAAGCAGAACATATCAACCATAACGTGGTGGAAGTTTTGGTGGCCAAGCGCTGAGTTCTTACTGCTGCCAAATCAGGCTCTAAGGTCGCACTGCTCATGATGTCGTGTGTCTTATCTTCGGTGAGGTGGCATATGTTCAAGGCTGATACCAGTACTGTGGTGATTTGACACTCCTGGTGAAATAGTACATATTTGCGCTGGTGAAGCAGCACAGGTTCTTCCTGCAAGATCGATGTATATACCAATGTAAAGGTGAATCGGTGGCTGATATTGAGAGCAGGGACATGGGATGGTGTTGTCGAAGGTGAAAGTCGACGGTTCCCCCGCCAGAAAAGCGGCCGCCAGGTGAAAGTGGTTTGTGACCAACGCTGGCTCAGTCGTTGATATGCGACCGCTGTAAGCTGCTTGTACCTCTGGTGATGTGGTCCCCTCTTTGGTACCGGTGATGTGTTCTTGTTGGTGGCTTTATGTTTGTACATTAATGTGTTGGGAGTGAGTCAAGTGCCACGTGGCACATACCCACCAGTGCCGGCATTATTGATATCATTGGACCGGGGGGGATGGGGGGAGAGAAACAAACGATTCGTCGTCCAAAAGCTTCCCTAGCAAAACTCTTCAAAGACAACTAGCTGGCAAAAGATAGCTTTAGCGGCCTGACACAGTACTAAAAGCATGGTGAAATCGCAACTTCCCAGCCTTCGATGAGACCAATTGTCATAAGTATGCACCGAAGTCCTTTGTGACCTAGTCCTTTGGGCTTCCCGATGCTGATGGAAGTTCCAGTGGTGTCACTGGAATCTTTGGAATCCTTAGAACCTTCAGATTCTCTATCTCTGCTTGTCTCTGATCTTTCAGTCCTGCACGCGGGAGGAAATCAAGGCTCTGACACTCTGACCAGCAAAGAGCAAAAGAGCCCTTGAATTCAGTGGGCAAAGAAAAGGAATCAAAAAGTACTAGCGATGGCCTCCAACCTAGTAGGAAAAATTGCTGCAAACGCACATGAGCGCAAGTAGAAAAGAGTTGAGAGGGCAGGCTCAGGTGAGCTCTCTGAGGTTGTGTATGCCTCCTCGTGTTCTTGATCTTGTACCGGCCCTCAGTTCTTTGCGATGAACTGCGCAGGCGTTCCGAGCTGCAGCCGCGAAGCTGGAATGTCAGGAGCTGCTAAAGCGAGTCTCAGGTAGTGCAAGCGCTGTTCTGTGGTAAGCATGGCCTCCCAAGCTTCTCAAAGCGCTGTTCTTAGTTGGTCAAAGCTTGAAGAAAGGGACACTCCTAGTAGAAATGCCCTTTGTTCCTAGTAGCGAACCTTGTTACTAGTAAGGCCAGGAGCCCCTAGTAGCGTGGCACCTCTTCCTAGTAGCGATGCCCTTTGTTACTAATAGCTTCCATGTTGTTCGGATGTTCCGCCTCGCCTCAGGAGACGGCAAATCTGTGGAAGCTGGTTCAGTGGAACTGGAAGATCCACTGGATGTGCCTCTCCGGTCCTCTCAGTTGGTTGGAGGCCATTGCTTCTAGGGTAGAGGCCATTGCTATTGGTGTCTGTGAAAAAAAGAACAAATGTCCTGTTAATCTTTTCTCTATTCATTCCTTGCTATTAGGTTGGAGGCCTCGATTTACAAGTCCCAGTCTCTGGGAGTCCGTCCTGCATGCGCTTCAAAACGAATAGGGCTTCATCACTGATCTCTAACACCTTGACTCCTTCCACTTCCACAATCTCTTCAGCGGATCCCTGCCAGCAAAGCTCAACTGGTTTTCCTTTGCACTGCCAATCTGCAGGGAAGAACATGGCCTCCTCACATATACAGCCGCTCGACATGTCATATACAGCCCGGCACGCTGTGACCTTCCTTGCTGTGTCTCTTACTGTCTTACTCATCTTCGGGCTTTGTCTCACCATTGGGGTAAGCAAGTGGTCAGGAATGTCCTCTAAAGTATCTGTCTGTGTTCTGTTTAAACTCACGGAAGGTCACACTATCTCAGTCTGTGTGGATCTTATGTCCAAGAGCCAAACTAGAATGGCTGCACACACAACCAGGGTAGTTAAGTGAAGCACACAGTGCATGTCTTCTGAGTCAAATGGGCCCAATGAAAGCGATGGTTGGGCCATGTTAAGCCAGTTGAGCCCAGAAATGCACCACCCAGGCTGCCGCGAACCTGAACGTGACAGGCTGTGGGCTTTCCATCCACCTGTGAGGTGATGATCTCAAAGGTGACCATCGAGCCCTCCGCCACAGCCTGAACGTGACTTGCAGCCGCTGGCAGGGTGTTCTCCAGAAATGAGTTCTTGTGATTTGTCCATGTTCTTTATTCTTCTATCTTTTCTTAAGCTTTCTGTTTCAACAAGGAGCTGTTTGCTTGTCGCAAGGGGTAGGGGCATGCATGCTCTGAGGCAAACCCAGTAGGGGAAATACATCACATCTCAGAAAGCCCATCACCTGAGCGTGAGGTCCGTCTGGCCCGCCATCAAAGCGGCTCTTGTGGACGAAAACCTGCGACGACCGAGGCCTCAAGCCTCAAACTACAAAGTGTGGTCTGAGGCCTCTTTCTTGTTACTAGTAGCGTCCTTGTTACTACTAGTAAGGCACTTGTTACTAGAAGCGATGCACTTGTTCCTAGTAGCTTCTTGCTCCTAGTTCTTTTTGAGTTGCTACTAGAGATGGCCTTCAACCTCTACTCGCTTTCTACTCACTTGTACGCACCCTCTGCTGTGTTGCTTTGCTGCCTCTTCTGCCTGCGCATTAGGATGCAAAGACCTGAGTAACAACAGGTTAGCCGGTTCAAGATTGTGGCTTTCATCCTGACTTTGGACCAGGATCTTTATGAGGTGCATGAATCTTGTTTCAGAACACCAACCACAATGGCTCGCAATTCTGAGGTTTGAGCAGGATTTTCCCAAAGCCCTTTTCTTTGCCTTATGCGATGCGGTGGTGTGATAGAGCTCGAATCAAGGATATATCCCATCGATCATTTTGGTCATGAGTCACTTACATCTCACATGTCTGGGTGTCTGGCTGAACCATTTGACGCGACCCTCAAAGCGTGGTGGACCTGACAATCACGACTTTGCCAACTCATAACATAAATATCACGACTTTGCTACATCCTGAAGTTTGCCCCAAAAAAGATACACCCGAGCCACGCCATGCAACTCTGGGTATCTGCCCATTTTTGGCAATGCCAAATCCTGCCCGCTTTTAGCGGCGAGATTTCCTTCTGCTATCAGCACTGTTGCTGATGACGGCCAACAGCTTGAGGTTGCCGACATTCTGAACAAGAAAGCAGCACGAATTTTAGCATGCTTTCTTGTCTCACCTATGTCACTGCAGGACGGCATCCGTTCAACCATAAAGGCGGAACCGTCTCTGAGAGATGCAAACAACAACTACCGCATCAGCTTCATCACAATTGTGATGACATGGTAAGCCACTGGATCACGACAATTGAGGCACGAATGCACCGCTTTTCCTGCCGGAGCTTGAGCGGCTTGGTATTGCTCGTCTTCTGCCTCACGCTTTGCATCGACTCGGAACCATTCAAAACCCCACCACGTAGGTTAAGTGAGGCTTGGAAGTTGGAAGCCTTATATAGTAGTTTCTTGTTACTAGTAATGGCCTCCAACCTACTTGCGATGGCCTCCACCTAATAGCGTCCTTGCTACTCGGAAAAATAAGAAAAGCCATGCTGCTGGTTCAAGCCTTGCACTGACAAAAGTACTCAAATCCTGTCACGACCCTAAACTCACATCTGCCAAGTGCTGAGAGCAACTCCTAACGCTTTTTTGGGGAAGACTGAAGAACAATAAAGAACAAAAAGGGACAGGTAGCCAAGTAAGTAAGAGGTAAGGGACCGGATGCAGGAAAGCTCACGCAGTATTCGTTTTGTTTATAGATTTTGGGTGGACCTTGACTTGGAGGCCATCGAAAGTAGGGTGGAGGCCATCGCTATATATTAGGTTCCTTTTGCATCCTTTTGCTACTAAGTTGTAGGGGGGAACTTAAGTTTCAAAAATTACACCACCGTAGACCCCAAACAGTTTGTGTTTTTCAAAATCGAAACTAGAGCTTGCGACGTCCAGCGCTGGGAGATAAATGTAAAGGATTGCAAGGCAGAGACGGACACAGCAGTACAGAGCGGGGGGACACATCTTAAGAAAGAAGTGAGAAGCCCTAACAGTAAACCTTTTGGGGAATTATTCTTCAAGCGCGAACATGATGCTGGTCATGCTGCTCAGTCAGCGGGGAGCTGACCACGTGAGGACAAGAAACAAAAGCATGAGGAGCGAAGGATGTGACATGAAATTGATTTTTGGTGCCTGACATATGCCCTCCGCCCCAACTGAATAGAGAGATCGCTGCCACGCCGCCGAAATCCAATCCGGTCATTCATCCAACGGTTGCCCGAGAAGGAAAACAAAGCTGAGAGAGTTACACAGTGTGGCAGGAATGCAATCCCGGAGACAATCACGCACCCCTTGCAAAGGAGCAAGAACCTTTCACAGGCGAACCTGTTCCAGCGGACAGGGCAGAAAACAGCAGTGCAGGCACCAAACCTGAAAGACAAAAAGAAAGAAGTCACATGGGAGACAAATGAATAGAAATGCTACATGGCCAGCGGAAAAGGGCGGCAGCACCAGTGACAGACCCGGGAAACAAATTAATAGAAATGCTGCATGCCCAGCGGAAAAGGGCGGATACCAACAGTGACAGACCTGGGAGACTAATGAATAGAAATGCTGCATGGCCGACGAAAAGGGCGGACACCAGCAGTGACAGACCTGGGAGACAAAACACTGGCAGTGACAGACCTGGGAGACAAATGAATAGAAATGCTACATGGCCAACGGAAAAGGGCGGACACCTACAGTGACAGACCTGGGAGACAAATGAATAGAAACAGCGGAAAAGGGCGGACACCACCAGTGACAAGCCTGGGGGACAAATGAATAGAAATGCTGCATGGCCAGCGGAAAAGGGCGGAAATTAGCAGTGACAAAGACAAATGAATAGAAATGCTACATGGCATGACGGACCTGGGAGACAAATGAAGCATTTCTGGGAGATAAATGAAAAGAACCGGGAGACAAATGAAAGCAAGCGGGAGACAAGCGGGCCGGGAACCCGACCACAAGCACCCAGCCTGGGAGACAAATGAAAAGAAGTGCGTGACAAATGAAAAGAAGTGAGAGACAAATAAGAGGAAGTGGGAGACAAGCCGGCCGGGAACCCGACCACAAGCAGAAAAGAAGTGGGAGACAAACGAAAGGAAGTGGGAGACAAGCTGGCCGGGAACCCGACCACAAGCACCGAGCCTGGGAGACAAATGAAAGGAAGTGAACCCGACCACAAGCACCCAGCCTACCGAGCCTGGGAGGCAAATGAAAGGAAGTGGGAGACAAGCCAGCCGCGAACCCGACCACAAGCACCCAGCCTGGGAGACAAATGAAAAGAAGTGGGAGACAAATGAAAGGAAGTGGGAGACAAGCCGGCCCGGAACCCGACCACAAGCACCCAGCCTGGGAGACAATGAAAAGAAGTGGGAGACAAATGAAAGGAAGTGGCCTGAGAGACAAATGAAAAGAATTGGGAGGCAAATGAAAGGAAGTGGGAGACAAATGAATGCACGTGGGAGACAAGCCAGCCGCAAACCCGACCACAAGCACCCAGGGAGACAAATGAAAAGAAGTGGGAGACATATGAAAGGAAGTGGGAGACAAGCCAGCCGGAAACCCGACCAGACCATCCAGCACCGGCGACCATTCTTTAAAGCATTGAGAACCCCTAACAGTATACTGTTTGGGGAATGATAAGAAGTGGGAGACAAATGAAAAGAAGTGGGAGACAAATGAAAGGAAGTGGGAGACAAATGAAAGGAAGTGGGAGACAAGCCAGCCGCAAACCCGCGACCACAAGCACCCAGCCTGGGAGACAATGAAAAGAATTGGGAGACAAATGAAAAGAAGTGGGAAAGGAAGTGGGAGACAAGCCGGCCGGGAACCCGACAAATGAAAGGAAAGGAGACAAGTGAAAAGAAGTAGGAGACAAATGGGAAGTGCGAGACAAGCCAGCCGGGAACCCGACCACAAGCACCCAGCCTGGGAGACCAAAAATGAAAAGAACTGGGAGACAAATGAAAAGAACTGGGAGACAAATGAAAGAAGTGGGAGACAAATGAAAGGACGTGGGAGACAAGCCAGCCGCAAACCCAACCACAAGACCCAGCCGGACAAATGAAAAGAAGTGGGAGACAAATGAAAGGAAGTGGGAGACAAGCCAGCGCCGGGAACCCGACCACAAGCACCCAGCCTGGGAGACAAATGAAAAGAAGTGGGAGACAAATGACAGGAAGTGGGAGACAAGCCAGCACCACAAGCACCCACCCTGGCAGACTGAAAGGGAGTGGGAGACAAGCCAGCCGGAAACCCGACCACAAGCACCCAGCCTGGGAGACAAATTAAAAGAACTGGGAGACAAATGAAAAGAAGTGGGAGACAAATGAAAGGAAGTGGGAGACAAATGAAAGGAAGTGGGAGACAA